CTCCTGGGCACAGGAGGCCAAGATCATCTAACCAGGAGGCGGCGGGCGGGCAGAATCAAGGCCAAAGCAATCTCTGGCAAAAGGTCTTATAAGGCAGCAGATAAGGAGGCCAAACGTAGACACCAGGCCCTGAAAAAACAGTTTTCTAGGGCCGAAAAGAGGCAAGCCACAGCAGAGGATGGCCTAGACCCACCTAATTACAAAGAGGAGGAAATATTTGGCCCGAGGAAGCCTGGTCAGGAACCTCTGGAAACAGAGGCTGACGCAGTACAGGCAATTGAATCCCCTCTTCGTGAAGGGCCCGAAGGCCCGGGGACAATGACAGGTTTCCAAGAGGCACTGTCATCGGAACATTTACAATCTCTCATATCTCAGGCCTCTTCAAGACACCATTGTTCCAGGACCGGGTCCATGGCTTCAAGAGGCCGTCCCCTCCTCTCGCAAGAGGAAGCCTCTGTGTATCACAAATCAATCTTTCCTTCTCGATCTTCCAGAGGCAGGAAGTGTCCTGCAGAGGACTATGAGCAGTCAGATCAAGGACTGTCAGAGGATGATGACATATCCCCAGACCCTCCAACGTTCATGGGTCTATTTAACCCCACCCTGTTCAAGTCCCTACTTCACAAGGCCAGCAGCACTGCCAAGATTGAAAGACCCTTGATCCCTCAGGAAGGACCTTCAACTAGTCAGGTCACAAACAACGAGGCGTTTTCTCAACCCACCTACACACAGCAATTTATTCCCTGTCTTTTTTGATTCAATCCAGAATAATATGGGGACACCGGGATTCTTTCCTCCGATGGGGGGAACAGACAAGAAGCTGTTCAATATAGACCCTGGCCTAGCGGAGGTAATAGAGGTCCCGAAGGTAGACGAGCCTGCAGCCACGCTTTTTTCCCCATCCACGGTAGCCGGAGACGCAGCAGAGGTCCTGAAGTCTGAGGATAGGAAGGTGGATCTCACCTTCCGCAGGGCACACCAAGTCTCAGTATGGGCGATCAAGGCATCTATTTCTAATTCCTTTTTTGCTAGGACTACATTACTTTGGCTCTGCCAACTCCAGGTGAGAATTTCCCAGGACGAGAAGAGAACCCACCAGGACTTAAGAAGGTTAGTGACAGCAACAGAATTTCTGGCAGATTCCTCCTTACACAGGGCAAACTATTCTGCAAGGGCAATTGCACAAAACACTGCTGCTCATAGATTGCTATGGCTCAAGCAATGGCGAGCCGACATCAAGTCAAAGTGGCAGTTGGCAGCAGCACCCTACAAGGGCGGCAAGCTTTTTGGTGAGGCTCTTAACCCTTATCTGGTAGAAAACAAGGATAAACACAAGGTGTTGGTCCACCAGTTCAAAAGAATGGAGAGGAGAGTCTCTTCCTTCCCTCGCAGGCCGTCCTTTCAATTTGAAGCAAGTCCAGAGCAGAACTCTTTTTCCCATCCCTATCAGCCCAGATCAGACCGACAGGGCGATAGACCAGGCAGCAGGGACAGATTTAGGCAACAATTCCAGTCAAAGCAGCCTTTTTGCGGAAGGGGGGGCGCCCCTTTCGCAAATCCAAGTGATGGGGAGGACTTCCCCATTGGTGGCAGGCTGGCCCTTTTTGCACACAAATGGCAGGCCACCACCATGGATCTTTGGGTCTTAAACACTGTCAGATTCGGCCTCTCACTGGAATTCATCTCCAAACCCCTGAACTGATTCACACCTTGTCCATTGTCAAGGGATCCAGCCAAAAAGCGGCTCCTCAGGGAGGCCATCCTGCACCTTCTGGACATCCGGGCGATAGAACCAGTGCAGAAGAAGCAACAGGGACAGGGTTTCTACTCCATATTATTTTTAGTCCCAAACAGTTCGGGGGGGGGTGTAGGGCAAGTCTAGATCTAAAGAATCTGAATACCCACCTGGCATACAGGAGGTTCAAGATGCAGACTCTTCAGTCAATCTTTTTTTTTTTTATTGAAAATTTTTTAAATTTTACAAAACAAATCCCCTCCCCAAACCCACCCTCCCATACCCTCCCCCATCTCCCCAAACCTCCCTAACCCTCCCCTAGACCTCCCAGAGTTGATTACAGGCTTATCCTAAATATTTCAAAAAGAAAAGAAAAAAAGCTTAAAACACATATGAATCCTAAACAAATCTAAAAACCTTAAATTAAATGAATTATCTCCTCTAAAAAAATAATAATTAAAGTCATTATAATATACTCTAAACTTTAAACACTACTTTCCTTGAACATCTATACCTATAATATAAAATCTAATATAAATAATAAACAATTCTGAATACATTTAGTTAAACAAATTGTACTCCCTCCAAAACACAACTTTAAACATTACTTGAAACTTGAAACATTAAAATGAGCAAATTGAAACTTAAGCAAATTGTACTCCAACCAAACACAAATTTAAACATTACTTAAAACTTAAAACATTAAAATCCCGCTGTACACATTTAATCAAATTCCATCTTGAAAATAATAATAATAATGATTACTGTTATTATTATCATTCTTTATAATCTCCCTCCAACACAAATTTAAACATTACTTAGAGCTTAAAGCATTAAAATTCCCTTTAAACATTTAAATCTTCAACAATAACAAATCCCCTCCACAAATTCAGTCTCTCTTGCCCATAAGCATCGAAAAAAAAGCATAAAAATCTGCCCTTGAAGATCGCTCCAAAGAATTTGTAAGTCCTGGTTTTCCCACTAACTCCAGAACCAATACCTTTGAAACTTCCTCACCTCCTTCACCTGTCGGTCTTTCTCTTTACGTTTATATGTTGCTTTTTCTTTGCATTTATACATTCCAGTCTCAGGAACCAACACTTGTGAAACTTCCTCGACCTCCTTTTCTTTACATTTATATGTTGGACAAATTGTCTTCTGGTCTTTCATCTCTTGTGAAACTTCCTTGAGCTTCTTCTGCTGATTCTTTTCTTTACAATTATATCTTGCGTAGGTTATCTTCTGGTCATTCATCTCTACTTGTTGAGGCCTCCTATTTTTAATTAATATAGACTCTTCAAACTGCAATTCTGGCATTAAAGGTTGCTCCAAAAAATTTATAGATACTTCTCCCTCAGATTCAGGAACCAATAGTTGTGGAGCTTCCTTAAAGTTCTTCTGTTGATCCTTTTCTTTACAATTATATGTTGCACGAGTTGTCTTTTGCTCCTCCATTTCTACTTGTTGAGATCCCTCAAACTGCAAGTCTACCTTTTTATCTTCCAAGACTTTAAACATGGTAGGTGACGATGAGCATACCCCCAGGACCGAAGTATAAAAATCTTTTGCTTTAGAAACAGTATTAAGACTATAACGTATCCCCAGGTAGCTCACCACCATTCCAGTCGGAACATCCCATCTGAACAGAATTTGTCTCTTTTTAAGTTCGTCTGCTAAGAAAGCAAACTCCTTTCTTCTCCTTAAAATTTTTGGTGGGATCTCCTTTAAAATTATAACATCTTGTGAAGCAATTTGAAACCTCTTCTTATAAAAGGCTTGTCTAATTTCATTGCGCAGGGATCTTTTCCCAAAGTAAATTACCACATCTCTTGGCAAATTCTTTTGCTCTGCCACCACAGAGTTAACTCTAAATGTCTGATCAATTCCACTAAGTATTTCCTCTTCTTCTCTATTCAGAATCACAGCAAAGTCCTTTGCCACCATCTCTCTCAAATCTCCTTGCACAGACTCATGTAAACCTCTAATTCTTAAGGCATATTCCATTCGTTTATATTGAAGCATAAGAATCTCATCTTGAAAGTTTTTCATCTCTTTTTCCATACTTTCAAAATTTTCCTCCATCAATTCCAATTTTTCAACTACCTCTTCTACACGAAAATTCAACTTTTCAAGAACAGAAGCAACTCCTTTTAAAGTCAAAACTATCTCTTGCTTCAAAGTCTTATTATTTTCCTCTAAAATCTCTTTCATTTCTCCCCTAATTTGGAGTATAACATCTCCCATCATGTCTTGCAAATCCTTCACCATTGTTGACTGTGGCAAGGAAGAAGGTAAAACTATTAATTTAGATTGTTGCCTTGATGATAAGACCGAAGAAGAAGTCACCTTGGAAGCTGTAGAGATTACTGAACGCTTTGGAGCCATCTTGAAAAAAAAAACTTTACTCCTTCTTAAAAATTGCAAGAATTAAACAAACAAAAAAAAAATAAGAAATTAGCTCCATATATTCAAAAAAAAATCCTTCAAAAGGGGATCATTAAAGAAAAAAAAAGGAGGAAAGAAAAATAATAATAATAATTAAATAGAAAAATCCGTTCCATTTTTTTTTAAAAAAAATGCCAAAAAGTGCAGAATACAAAACATAAAAATTAAACAAAAATAGTAACACTAACACTCCATTCCTATCATTAAAAAAAAGGAAAAAGGGAAAGGGGAAAAAAAAACACCAAAAATGCTTCTAAAATCCATAAAAGCCGATCGCCGTTAAAAAAAAAGCGCCGGAGAGTCTGCCGATCGCCATTTTACTTTCCCTTTCAACAAAAAGTAAAAAAATAAAAATTAAAAAGAGGGAAAGAATAATAATACTTCTAAAATCCATCCAATCATTAAGAAAGCAAAAAAAAAAAGAAAAAGCCGATCACCGTTCTAACTTCCCCCCCCCAAAAAAACACCGGAAAAATCTGCCGATCGCCATTTTACTTTCCCTTTCAACAAGAAGTAAAAAATAAAAGGAGAGTATATAAACATAAAAATAGATCTTTAAACTTAAAATACATATAAAGTCAAAGAAAGCTAAAAATAAATCCTCTAGTCAACTCTGTCCGCTTATAAAAAAAAACTCACCAGTTCACTTTAAACACGGAGGTGTTCGCAACGGCTTGTTTTGTCCCTAGGGACAAAAGCAGCTGGGAAGCGGAGACAGTCTGAACTCCGTGGGAGCACTCTGTCACCCCCCCAAAAAAAGAAATGGGGATACATAAGAGGCTCTACCACTATTCAGACTACCCTCTGCCCCCCCCTTTGCCCGGGAGGGGGATTTTGAACCGCTGAACAGCTGATGTCTGCTGTTCATAGCGGTTCATTACACTTACCCAGGACGGCTACAAAGTAGCCGCCATCGCCGTGCAGATCCACCGGAAGTCCAGACTCTTCAGTCAATCTTAGCGAGCGTCAGAAAGGGAGATTTCCTGATGTCTATAGATCTGACGGAGGCCTACCTTCACATCCCAATCCTGCCGGAGCACTGAAGGTTTCTCAGGTTCTACCTAGCAAGGCATTATTATCAATACAGAGCTCTTCCCTTCGGCCTGTCCTTGGCCCCCAGAGTATTCACAAAGGTTCTGGCGACCCTTGCTACACACCTGCAGACTAATCCGGTGCGCATCCAGTGCTACCTGGACGACATTCTCATTCAGTCCTCATCAGTTCAGGCGGCATAGGCAGACATAGCACTGACCCTACAGGTTCTTCAGAACCATGGGTTCTCAATAAACTTTCAGAAGAGTCAAAACTGTCCCATCGACCCGTCTTCTTCATTTGGGAGTAGTAATAAACACATTAAGGTGCGAGGTCTACCTCTCTCGAGAACACAGGAACAGCATTCAAGCCCTGGTCGGGCTAATCCGAAGAAGGTGGACCACCACACTGGCCACGCTCTCCAGCTTACTAGGGAAGATGATATCATGCATAGCGATCATGCTGTGGGCACGGCTACACTCCATAGACTTGCAATGGTTCCTACTCCCATTCCAGAAAGAGGGAACCGGCACCTCCAACCAAAAAGTGGGTACCACCAGGAGTCATAAATTTGCTAAAGTGGTGGTTGTCTCCAGCCATGACAAGGAGACACATGTTCAAGGAGACCGTCCGAGTCACCCTGACCACAGTCGCCAGCCTATTCAGTTGGGGAGCACATCTTCAATCCAAGGGCCAATGATCCAAGGGGGACCTGAAACACAACATAAACTGGTTGGAGCTCAGAGCCGTACATCTGGCTCTCCATCATTTCCACAGCGCAGTGACGGATCAACACGTTCTAGTGCTTACGGACAACGTGGTGGCCAAAGCCCACATCAACCGTCGGGGGCACGTGGTCGAGGGCCCTCATGACTGAGACCAAATTGCTGGGAACCTGGGCCGAGAACAACCTAGCCTCTCTCAGGGCAGAGCACATATCAGGAGAAGCAAATCAACAAGTGGATTCTCTGAGCAGGGCAACAATAGACCACTCAGAGTGGAGCCTACACCCTACTCTCTTCAGGGAAGTATCAGCCCGGTTTGGTCATCCAGTACTGGACCTGTTTTCAAGCCCCAAGAATGCTCAGCTCCCAAGATTCTTCTCCCGCTTCCCGCTTCCCGTCTCCAGGAGCGGAGAGAGCAGATGCCCTCCAGGTACATTGGCCGGAGGGGTTACTATATGCCTTCCCTCCGCTTCCTCTGATTCAGGCAACCATCAGGAAGATATTGCAGGAACAAGCAGAAGTGATACTCATTGCACCGCACTGGCCAAGACGACTGTGGTTTGCCGACCTCGTAAGTCTCTCCATGGAGGATTCCGCACGATCAAATCTCCCTCAGTCAGGGGGCGCTACTCCACCCAGAACCACAGTGGCTCCAATTAACCGCCTGGCACTTGAGCGGAGCCTCCTAGAAAGGGAAAGCTTTTTGCAGAGAGTCATTAGGACACTTCTGGCCTCAAGAAGGTCCTCAACCAACAGAATTTACGACTCCACTTGGAGAAATTATTACAGCTGGTGCACAAGGCATCAGCTAGACCCTCTTAGTATTTCTATCCTGAGGATCTTAGACTACCTAGCAGAGGGTCTGGACAAGGGCTTGGCACCAAACACAATTCATAGGCAGGTGGCCGCCCTATTCTATATCCTTACATATGGCAACTCTGAACCACTAGCCAAACACCCGGCAGTGCGGGTTTTCATTAAGGGCGCAACAAACAGCAGACCACCCGTGGTACACAGATATCCCTCCTAGGATCTGTCCAAGGTCCTGCAAGCCATTACCTCACCTCCATTTGAACCTGTCAGGACATGCACATTACAATTTTTGACCCTTAAAGTCGCATTCCTGATCGCAGTCACTTCAGCTAGGCGCATTTCAGAGTTGACAGCACTATCAGAGAGCATCTCTGTACCTTCCACATAGACAGGGTGGTCCTATGATTAGACCCCTCCTTCATTCCCAAGATTAACTCCCTGTTTCACAGAACACAGGAGGTGGTGCTACCAGATTTTTGCCCTCAGCCCTCCCATGAATTGGAGCGCAAATGGCACACCTTAGACGTTCGGAGGGCCTTAAGGCAATACATTAAGCAAACAGCACCCTTCCGCAAGTCAGAGGCCCTGTTCGTTTCCTTCCATTCACACACAAGGGGCCAAAAGGTCACAGCTTCCACAATCGGTAGATGGATCAGGAAGTGCATAGCAGTGGCATACCAGGGACATCACTAGTAGTCCCCAGACAAATCACCGCACACTCCACTCGCAGCGCTGCCACCTCAGCAGCTTGGGCGACTCAGGCACTGATTGAGAAAATATGTAGGGCGGCGACGTGGGTGTCGTCTTCCCCCTTCATAAGACACTACAAGTTAGATAGGTTCACATCTGCGGAGGCCTCATTTGGCAGGAGGGTCCTCCAGTGCTTAGTACCAGAAAGTGGGACACAGGCCCAGACTGCTCCCCACCCACAGGGACAGTGAGGCTTTGGTACGTCCCATTGGTGGATTCTCCACTCGTCATGCTGGAGAAGGGGTGTTGTCTTACCTGAACGCCTTTTCTCAGCATGATGATGGAGAATCCACTCCCACCCTTAGGGCCAGTCAGGTCCAGTGCAGGGAAGAGGATTGAGCCAACAAACAAAATCTTAGTCAGCAACTTCGCCTCAGTCGAGAACTGGGGAATGGAGGTCCCAGGAAGAGGCGGAGCAAAATTGGCTGACTTAGTCTACGGGCAGAAGACAAGCATAACCCATTGGTGGATTCTCCATCGTCATGCTGAGAAAAGGCGTTCAGGTAAGACAATGCCCCTTCTGTGTTCTTGCTGCTTTATACCTATCGTCTGTCCTTGTTTTCATGCAGTAGCCTAAAAGTCTTTTATTAATTGCATAGTAAAGAATATCTTGTACATCTCTTCCACTGAGCGTGTTCCTTCCATGTGATAGCTCTCTTTCTGGAAAGTTACTTTCTGGAACAATTTACTATTCCTCCTCTGAAAATCCTTGTCCACTTTTGTGAGCTGAAGTGTGGCCACTTGTTTATTCTATTCTCCTTATTTTTCTTCTGTGCTGTTCTATAGATTTACATTTGATACATGCTGTATGTATGTTTGGTTTCTTTTATGCAGAGAAGGAAAAAACCTTTTTCCTTCTATTCCTTATATAGCCACCACCTGTGGAAAGATTTGTTTCTTCTTGTTTCTTTTATTGGCTAATAGATAAGCTAAATACAAAACATTTAAAAGGAACTATTGATGAGGATCTCCTATTTATTTATTGTCAAATTGTTTTCTAACTTAAATTTGTCCTTTCAGTTATGAGTAGTTTTGGCTTAATTTCAGTTGATATATTTAGTATGAAAATGCATATGAATTTCAAGATGTTATTATTGTTTGTCTAAGTATGTACAGTATATCTCTCTATGTTCTGTTTATGGTTTATGGAGTTTTTGAACATACGTAGCATGATTTATGACAGTAGATTCTTGATATGTATGCAGTGATAATATTTGAACTGATTTCTTTTTAGACAGAGAAGCATAGATAAGCAGAGAAGAAGATTATCTAGCAATATATTAAAACTCCTTGAATTGTTTGATTTGTTTTTATGTTTTCAGGCAAGTTTTTCCTTTTTAAAAATTTTTCCTTATTAATATTTTCATATGTATTGTTATGAAGTATTTCAGATTTATATTTTGATTTTATATATATAACCAACACTAGTGTATCTGAGAAAATGTTAAACAAGAATCAGTGACATGAGTTTCAACTAACATGCCACTCCTATGTAGATTAATATTAGGTTATATAGGTTTTATTAACCAGTAAAAATTAGACTCACTAAAGTTATAGCACACATTTTACACTAAATATAAAATTGAATTTTGCTATTACTTCAGACATTCATGACAAAATAGGGCTTTTTAGTAAGCCTTCTCATGAATTATCCTTTGTGACTGATAGGTAGAATCATAGGTTTGGAACGGAATTTCTTCTCTGCACTCTTTCTAGAGCCTCAACATCTTTTTTATATTGTTGTGACCAGAACTGGATGCAGTATCCCAAATGTGGGATACATTTATACTCACCAATGTGGTATAAAGTGATTCTGTCACTTAATACTATCCCTCAGTTCCATGTTGGCTTTTTTGGCAATTGCAGAACACTGCTGGTTCCTACTGTGTTTCCCTGAAAGTAAGCCCCCCCCAAAGTAAGCCCCAGATTGCATTTCGGGGGTGGGCCTAATATAAGCCCTTCCCCGAAAGTAAGCCCTACTTAAGAGCCTGCACAGATGGCTGGCTGCCAATTCCATCTGGTTTCTACCATAGACACAAGATTGGGGGGGAAGCTCCAGTGCCTCTGCGATGGGACGAAGCCGCTGGGGGAGGGGTGATCTGGTGCACGTGTCCCACTAACGTACGGTATACCTTACTGCTGCCTCTCATGCTGCCCGGCTTGTTCCGCAGCCGTTTTTGGCTGGCTGTGACCAATTGCCGCATTGTGTATCGCGCCCACCAATGTCACTGCACAGATCCCCCATCTGACCCATGTGCCCTGCTAACCAATGGTATATCAGTCCCTTATCACAACCTGACTTGTTCTGTGACTGGCTTCAGCTGCCATTGCCATTCACCACATCACGCGTCACACCCAATGCCGCTGCCATAAAGCTTGGCAGATCCACCCCATCTGACCTACGCAAGGCCATAGCCAGGCCTCCCATGCCAACGGTAATCCTAATCCCCACTCCCCTCCAACCCTAACTGGATCTGGGAAGCCCTGGGGAAAAAAAACAGAAAAAGTTGTGTCGTAAAAAATTTTTTTCCCCTGTTTGTTTCCAAACTGCTTTGGAAATCTGCCAAGTGCATGGAAACAAAAGTTTGTGTGGGGAAAAAAGGTCAATCAATCAATTTCAACTTCTCACACACAAAAAAAGATCTCATGAAGTTGGAATTGATTGACCTTTTTTCCCCCGCCCAAATTTCTTTTGTTTCCCTGCCTACGGTGGCAAGGAGTGTGAAGGAGAAACGGCACGGGACTGGAAATCAGGTAAGCGAAGAGATGCAATTCCTGGGAGAAGCGAGGGCATTTGGGCAGTGATGTGGCAAGCTCTTTAGCTCCGTGATGGCAGAGAACTGTGATGGAGCTGCAAAGCAGATGGCAAGATGCTGAAATGGGTACATCTCTGTCCTGCAGCTGCCCAGGCTGCTGGAAGGAAGGCCGACATCTACCGGCACTTATGGTAAATGCAGCGGCATTCCGGCTCTGGTGGGGAAGGGGCAGCCAGCATGGGTGCTGATGGCAGGACGCCCACTCGCTTCAGCACCCTCCCTCCCCAAGCCTCTGGCATTCCACCTGCCGCTTTGGTCCTGGGCTGCCACCTCCCCACTCACCTCTCAGGCGGGCCCAGCCAGGCCAGGAAGGCAGCCTTCCCAGATGCCCGGGGCAAAAAACCCCCCACTCTGGCCGGAGGAACATCGGCCTGGCCAACCCCACCTTGGTGCCCTTCCTGTCGCTGCCCAGCACAGCTGCCTCAGGGCTACAGGGGCTGGCCTGGCATGGGAAGGGCACATGCTCTGCCCCACCTGCCCACGCCAGTATTTGGTCCACCACCATGCTCTCGCCATTGCATTGTCTTTGCACCTCATGCGCAGGCCCCGCCCCCACATGCTCATAGCCTGCTGGTACCGATAAAACTAAGCTCTACCCCGAAAGTAAGCTCTAGTGCTTATTTCAGAGCCCAAAAGAAAGTAAGACCGGGTCTTACTTTTGGGGAAACACGGTACTTAAGTGGTAGTTCTACCAGGACACCTAGGTCCCTCTCATAGGCACTGCTGTTGAGTCAGGTGTTGCTTAACCTGTACCTGTGCATTTTTTTTTCTTGCCAAAGTGCAGGATCTTACTTTTTTTGCCACTAAATTGCATCTTCTTGGATAGGACCAGTGCTTAAGTGTGTCAAGATCCTTCTGGATCTTGAGGATATCTTCTGAAGTGTTAGCAGTTCCCCCCAGCTTTGTGTCATCTGCAAATTTGATGAGTCCCTCCATCTAGGTCATTTATGAAGATATTAAAGTAAAATATAAATAAGGCTTCGGTATTTCAGACAATTTTATTAGTCTAAGATTTGAAGTATTTTGGATGCAGTAGAAACTGTAGAATGCTTACAATCTAGTAAATAGTTTGGTGCTGAGTACAAATAATATATGAGTAGCTAAATAGAGAGATTTTGCATTGTTGTTCCTCCTTCAGTGTTCAGCATAGGTGTACTAAGACCTTTGACAATTTCATTAATGAGTTCATTGTGCTAATGTAAAATTATTTTAAAATTGCAGTGAAATTTGCTACAAATACAGATGTAAAAGCTTGCTGAAAAACCATGCATTTTCAACTGTAATGATTGATATAGTAGCTTCAAAGATTGTGATGAGTTTTTCTGTTTTCCTAGATTCTTTTGTCTCAAACTATGCCAGAGATGACAGAGAAAGCTCCTCTTAAGAAGCAGCACCGGTATGTTTCCAAGTTACAAATAAGTATACAAGTATAATCCTATCCTTGCTACAGGGAAATAAATGATACTGATTTGGGTGAGATTGCATTGACACTGTGCTTTGATTAATTCTCTGTTCCAGCCTCTGGAAGAAGAGATTGAAGACTAGAATAACCACAAAAAGGAGGGTGTTTTGTCTGCAGGCAACAGCCTATATATTTGAAAAGGGTAAAATGGGCATGAAAGAAGTAGGGCTGAAGGGGGCTCCAATTTTAATTAATCTATCATATTTTATTTATTTTTGACAAAAATGAAAAAAGTACCGAGATAGCCAGATACTACAAAAGGTGAACTATCAACCAACATGACAAACAGTGGTGAACTATAACAGGCTATGCTTTGCTGTATTGTCTGAGGTGTTATTTATCTGGAAGTAGCGTAACAGTAGTAGTTATTGTCCGACCTAGTTTAGTGTGGCATGCAAACATATCAGTAATATTAGAATTTAATCTAGCAAACAAATCCATTTATTAGTTAAAAGGTTTAGCAGGAATTTAGTGCAAAATATAGGGGAGGTGGGGGTTGTGTAAAAATATACTTCATGTTCTCCATCCACTCCATGCAAATGTGAGAAGTATGTTTCTCTGATATGAACAGCTATTGCCCTTTTTTATATGAAGTTTCTTAAATTTCTTAGAAGAAAGACTGAATATAAAAGCATCTCCTTTGAAACAAGCCTAAAATTAGATTAGCGTTCATTTTGCTAAGTTTTAGGAAAGCGGTTGCATATTTTTTTTAAATCGACCTGGAAATGCTAGTAGCAAGCTTCCACCCTGAGTTCTTCTTTGCTGCTTGATTGTTCTTCAAATGCAGATATTTTTGTAATTGCAGATAGAGCTATAAATTTTTTCATACTTTTTAAATGTAAACAATCCAGAGTCCTTTGGGATTGGAGGAGATAAGCCTAGGTCAGTTAATCAGTCATGTGGTGTTTGTGTACATGAACATAAACACAGTCGTTTTAATAGATTTGCAGGGACAGTAATTGAAAAATAAATTATTTGGTGCAGCATCTATTAGTAATGTTTTTCACATTCCATCCTTCTTTAAGAAAAATGTACTAAGGGAAATACAGTATTGAAATGCCAAATCTCACAAGTTTGTCAGTTACTAGTACATTACTGCATTCCTGCTATTACAATCCATGATTTCTATTCTATCCACATTTAAGAATAAATGTCATTGGAGTAGGGAAATATGAAACATTGGCAGGAAAAATGTTCTTTAAACTTATTTTTATGAAAGAAATTTATAGGGAAGTATAAAACTATATTCTAAATTCATGTAACATAATCCCCTTCTCTGGTACACAAAAAAATCTATCGCATATGCATTTATAATGTTTCCCCTGTTCCTTATATCTATGATATTTGTTTATACTACTGGTGATATAATATGTGATCCATATTGGAACCTTTGTTCATAGCTTGAATTCCCACAAGAAAGCCTCATTTTGTGCTTGTTTTATGCAAGCAATTTTGTGCATATTTTGTGTGTATATGTTTTAGGGAATATTTTATTATGTTTAAAAATAAATAGGCTAATTGATAACATGCTACAATCTTTGCTGTATATTTGGGGGGTTTGTCAGAAAAGAAGAACATTGTTTTACAAATTTTATGGATTTAGTAAAATACTTTAAATAGCAATAAATAGTTCATATTTTTTAAACAGGAAGAAAAACCGTGAAACTCATAATGCAGGTAAGATTTTAATATTTTTAGTAATAATTTTTATTGAAGTTTAAAAATACAAAGATAAACTAATATGAACTAAGAAAAATGCAAAAAGAACTGTTGAAGGAAAAGTCTTCATCAGGGTCCAGTCCAAGCCGGGAATAAACAACATGGCGACTGCTTTAGAAAGAAGTTTGTAGTTTATTGAAGAGGAAAGCCAGACAGAAAGATGGCTCTGGAAGAAAAGAGAGCACATGTAGTAGGGAGTGGGTTTTTATACCTTCTGGGGCTCTTGGGGTTGTTTCCTGTTCTTGTTTAAGGCTTTGTATTTCCTGTGTTATATACTTTGACCTGAGTCTGAGTGTGCCTTTCTGGTATTCTGATGGTGGTGGGTTAATTCTATTATGTCCTGTCTTAGAGTTTGGGTGGGGTATGTAGATTTTAAGTGTCTTTGTCTTTCTGATTTTTTCAGCTTCTAGCTGAGGGCTCCAGCCTTCTAGAGTGGATTATTACATCTGCATTTCTAAAAGCTGGTTTCTGCTGAGTTGTCTGGCTGTATGTGTGTGTGCATGGAGAGGTTTCTGCCTTTTTAAAGATCTTCTTCATTATTCCTTTGGGGAAATACATTCTGCCTTTTTAATATTCCTCAAAATATTTCTTTTCTCTGGATTGTTCCCACAGAACAAAATGTTTGTGTGTGAGTATGTGAGACTTCCTCTTAATCATGACAAGTACAATTTCAATAACTTATCACCTCTAAGATTTCAAGCTACAATCTTTTCATCCCATCTCATCTTCTTTTATTAGCAAATAAAACCTAACATTTAATCTTAATCAGCTAAGACCATTAAGAGTTACCAGAAATATTTATACACACACACACACACACAAATCTTGTCATCCCATATCTTATATCTGTAAACAGATCTTTAAAGCCTCCTCTTCTAAAGTTAATCAGAAAAAATCCATTAAGAACTACCCGAAACAGCAAATTAAAATTTAATCCCATCAAACAATGTTCCACAAATCAATTTCTTATCATATCCACTAAGACAGCGGGCCAAAACCTTTCTGGCTCGGTGGACTGGTGGAAATGGGGGGAGACGGGATGGTTTCACACACATGCAAGTGCCACTTTCACATGTGCACGCTCACCACTTCCGTGGCTTGGTTCCCAGTGGCCTGTTGCCTGGCACTGAGCCATGAACTGGGGGTCCAGGACCCCTACTCTAAAAATCTCCTTCGCAAATTTAACACTTTCCTTCAATTTTGCTGAATGAAAAATCTTTTCTATGTTATCTATAAACAAATCTTTAAAGCTTCATTGTTCAGTCATAGTAAAAAAAAACATTAATACCTGTTTTAACTTTAATAAAATAAGCGAACTTTATAAATCTTTTTACATTTAGAAGACATCCATTCCTTTTAAGTAATGTCCTAGAAACATTCTCTCTTTATCTTTCATAGTTATGACACATGTTTTTTGTAAATCTAAAATAAGGTTGTCCAAGTCACTCTTCTGAGTTAAAATCCATATATATACAGGTAGTCCTCGGGTTACGAGTGTAATGGAGCCTGCCCATTCCACTTGTAACTCAAAAACTTGTAGAGTGAATCTTGTTCGAGATACAAGATCACTCCCTTGCTCGTTAAAACATACCCAGCTCGTTAAGCGAACATGAGGTATCTCAGGGTGGGGAAGGTCATGGAGGGCCTAGTGCTAGAATGCCTCCAAGGCCTCCCTGACCCACTAAGATACTGCATGCTTCCCGTTCCCTTCCTGCCACGCCGGACTCACCTGGAAAAGATCTGTCTCCTCTCTGCTGCGGTTCCTGCTGCTGCCCAGATTTGAAGCCAGGGAATGCTTCCGCAACCCCTCTGCAGCTTGATCTGGGCTCCGGAGGCCTTTTCCAGGCCACTGCCGCCTGGATTTGAGGCTGGTGAATCAATCACTCAAGGCCTCCAGAGCCCAGATCAGGCCACAGGGGGGTCACGGAAGCCTCCCTCGGCATTATATCCAGGCTGCAGCGGCCTGGAAAAGGCCTCCGGAGCTCCTATCCAGACTACGGAGGCATATGAAAGCGTCCCCCAGCTTCGGTTCCATTCTGTCGCAGAGAACATTGGCCTAAAGTACCATGAGATTACACAAGATCAGTAGCATGAGATCTTGCCCCACTGATCTTGCGTGATCTTGCTTTACTTTAGGCCTCCATTCTCTGCCAACGCACCGAAGGCCTGGAACAGCCAAGAAAGTGAAGGATCTCGATCTTCGCAGGGTGAGTATTGAAGGTCTGGTGCCTAGGGAGACCCAGGGTGGGGGTGGGGAGGAAGGGAATAACCAGGGTGAATGTTGCAGAGCCACTGCGGTCGCTCATAAGGGCGAAAACTGCCGTGGTGCTACAATATTCCATAACTTCAGGAGTTGCTTGTAAGCACTAGGGGGTGCTCATCACATAACTTTAAATGAGTGTTAAGTGAATGCTCATAACTCAGGGATTACCTGTATATCATTGTGAATTATTATTTCTGTGTCCCTTTTAGCTATTAGAACATCAATGAGTTTCATTGTGAGTCTTGTGTAACATCAAATCATTAATAAATCCTGTCAATTTTAAATCTGTGTTCAAAACAGCCTAATTCTTTTTTTAAAGTTTTTATTGATTTTTTTTAAAACAATCAAAAGTACTTATTCAACAAATGTGTAGTCTGCGTATATCATTCACTAATACAAATTGAATTCCTAATCCCTTATTCTTTTCTCCAGCCATTGATAAAATAAGTCCCAAGTTTGAAAATACTGTTTCTTCTTTTTCTTTCAACCTCAGAGTATGTCTGTCCATTTCTGCACAATCTAATTTTTTTTAATTATTTCTTCCTCCACTGGTATTTCTTCATTTTTCAAAAATTGTGCAAAATATTCTTGCCACTGTTATCACAAGTAAAATCGAGTATATACTTTGTTTGTCAAGCGTTTCTGGCATTATACTTAATTAAAAAAATGTTCAGGTTTAAAATCTACATATTTTCCCAACATCTTTTCTAGCCGTATGCATTTTTGTCCAATCTTTCTTTGCTTTAACACATGTCCACCATACATGATAATATGTACCTAACTTGTGTTTGCATTTCCAACATCTATCTGACATATTTTTAAACATTTTTGCTAGTCTTGCTGGTGTCAAGTGCCATCTATAAAGCTTTTTATATAAGTTTTTTTGTAAGAGGTTAACATTATCAATTTATAATTTCTTTCCCATAGATTTTGCCATTTCTCTAAATCTATATTGTATCCAAAATTCTTTGCCCACATTATCATTGTTTCTTTTACTTGTTCATTTTCCATTTTCAAATTCAATAAAAAGTTACACATTTTCTTAATTAGTTTCTCATCAGAAGTTAATAATATCTGATCAAACAAGGTCTGCTCCTTATAAAATCCATATAGTTTAACATCTTTATCATATCACACATTTGTAAATATGCCCAAAATCAATACCTTGATTTTCCATCTCTTGTTTAGATTTTAAGTTCCCTTCAGAGTTTAGAATATCTTTATATATCCATATTTTCTCAAGACTGACTAAATTTGGATGTACAAATGCTTCCATTGCTGAAAGCCATCCTGGAATTTTCAATTATATTTTACATTTTATTTTTTCTCATGTTAGTAATAATGAATTTCTAATATAGTGGTTTTGGAAATATCTATGAATTTTATTTTTCCTATACCATAAGAAAGCGTGCCAATCAAGTTGTAAGTCATGTCCCTCCAAATACAACAACCTTTTATTTCTAAGAGTTATCTATTCTTTTACCCATATTAGTACTGATGCTTGATAATATAAAACCCACTCTGGCAAGCCAAAACCTCCATTTTCCTTAGCTTCTTGTAACATTTTCAATTTAATTTTTAGCTTTCTTTCCTTGCGAAATAAATTTTAAAATTAGAGAATTTAAGTATTCAAAGAATTTTTTCTCCAGTTTCATAGGTATCATTTGACATAAAAACAATATTTTTGGTAATATATTCATTTTTACTGTAGCAATTCTTCCTAACATCGACAGTTGCAAATTTTTCCATGTCAAGTTTTATTTGATTCAATAGTTTTATATAGTTATTTTCCTTTATTGTTGAACATCTTGCTGTCAGGTATATTCCCAAATATGATACCACTCTAATGGCAGAAAGTGAAGAGGAACTAAAGAGCCTCTTGATGCGGGTGAAGAAGGAGAGTGCAAAAGTTGGCTTGAAACTCAACATTAAGAAAACCAAAATCATGGCATCCGGCCCTCTCAATTCCTGGCAAATAGATGGGGAAGAAATGGAGGTAGTGACAGATTTTATTTTTCTGGGCTCAAAGATCACCTCAGATGGGGACTGCAGCCAAGAAATCAAAAGACGCTTGCTCCTGGGGAGGAAAGCTATGGCAAATCTAGACAGCATACTAAAAAGCAGAGACATCACCCTGCCAACAAAAGTGCGTATAGTCAAGGCCATGGTTTTCCCAGTTGCAATGTATGGCTGTGAAAGTTGGACTATAAGAAAGGCTGAGCGCCAAAGAATTGAGGCCTTTGAACTATGGTGCTGGAGAAGACTCCTGTGAGTCCCTTGGACTGCAAGGCGTTCAAACCGGTCAGTCCTAGAAGAGATCAACCCCGACTGCTCTTTAGAAGGCCAGATCCTGAAGTTGAAACTCAAATACTTTGGCCACCTAATGAGAAGGAAGGACTCACTGGAGAAGGGCCTAATGCTGGGAAAGATTGAGGGCAATAGAAGAATGGGACGACAGAGAATGAGATGGCTAGATGGAGTCACTGAAGCAGTAGGTGTGAACTTAAATGGACTCCAGAAGATGGTAGAGGACAGGAAGACCTGGAGGAACGTTGTTCATGGTGTCGCGATGGGTCAGACATGACTTCGCAATTAACAACAACAATTCTATTTTTATGACACTTGTTTTTTTTATCTGTAAGATTTTTAACTATCACTTTAGTTTTTTTCTCTGTTTATCTTCAGTTCTGCTATC